GCGACGCAGGCGCGGCGCGGGGCTGGGCAGGCTGGTTGGCAACTCGCACGCCTTTACGTCTCGGGCTCGTTTGGGTTCGTTTGGACTCGGATTTTGGTTTCGTTTTTTCCTGTGTGTTGCTAACGAAAATCTCTATTTAATGATGTTCACCTGGCCCACTTATCATGGAAAATAAATTCTTCCAAAGCTTTCGGCCTCCACACCATAAACGAAGAAAAATCAAAAAAACATACGAAAAACACAAGAAAAACCAAGATAGAGGAAAACACGCGATAAACTACAAAACGAGATAAAAACTAACTAAAAGACATAATATGGGAAAAACGAAAGGAAAAGTAACAAGGAAACACGCAACAAAAATTGGACAAACAAGCAGGACACATTCTCGAGATTAAGGTTATTCGGGACCGTGAGAAGAGAATGCTACGCTAATCTCAATCCTTGTAGATAGATACTGTCTTGGCACATTTCAAAATGTAGGATTCCAAGAGAGGGAAATTGCCCCTTCAGCATGGAATCCCTCAAACTAAGAGGATGTCTCCCAAGGCACCCCAAGAGATAGAGGACATGAAGGCGGTTCTTTATGCAACGGCAGTAGGAACCTTATGTATGCAATGTTGTGTACGTGGCCAGATATCTGCTATGTCATAGGCATGGTAGCCAAATATCAAAGTAATCCAGGACCGGAGCAGTGGACTGTGGTAAATCATATATTCAAGTACCTAAGAAGGACTAAGGAGTACACGTTAGTTTACCGAGCATAGGAGTTTCTCCAGTTGGGTTACACTAATTCTGATTTCGAGTCAGACAGGGATTAAAGTGTATCCACCTCAGGGTTTGTGTTTACTCTGGGAGGTGGAGCCATAGTTTGGAAGAGTGTCAAGCAGAAGTGCGTGGCAGACTCCATCATGAAAGCCGAGTACGTCGCTACCTCAGAGGCAGCGAAGGAAGCAGTGTGGCTTAGAAACTTCCTGTTACACCTTAACGTGTTGCCGAGTTTGGCCGATGTGATCACAATTTTATATGAAAAAAGCAGAGCAGTAGCAAACTCAAAGGAACCACGGACACATAAGGCGAGTAAACACATAGAGCTCAAGTACTACTTGATACGAGATATCATTGGACGAAGAGAAGTCATTGTTGCCAAGAGAGCATCAGAGGACAACTTAGCAGACCTTTTTACGAAGAGTCTACAAGCGAAGGTTTTTGACTGACATGTAAAAGGAATGAGAGTCAGGCGTGTGGTGACTAGTTACATTAGTAATTGAGAATTAGATTGAAAGAGAATATACTTAATAGACGAAAGCTTTATAGAGTATAAGTGGGAGATTGTTAGGGTTTATTATAAAAACTCGACTTTTAGTTTCTGACAATACCATTTTGAATGAGAATTATATTTTTTTTTTTTTTTTTTTCCAACGACATAAATTTCTCTATTAAAACCATAAAATGGTAATGTTACAAATATTCAAATACAGCCTGGGTAACTGAGAGGCCATGCAAGAACTATGCAGCCTAGCCGAATACAAAGCAAAATTCCATAAACACAGTACAAAATCAGACCAGAGGGACAGACCTATAGAACAAACAGTACAAAAGACCCCTACAAATCCAACTACAGCAAGTGAAAAACACAAGACAAGAACTAAACAATGAGAATTATGTTTTAGTCAAGTATTTGTGTTTGTAGTTTATTTATTTAGGCAAGCATAAGTTCCTTTATTTTACAGTGTAGACAATATGGTTCGATGTGTCGAAAAGAAAGATCATATTATCAGTTCCTTGTAAAATATAAATAAAATTTTCATGGCCTAGACAGAGTTGAACTATCTATATTGAAAGGTTGTAGTGTAATTTTTATTATGTTGGTCTTTGACTGATGAATTACGCTAGTACATCTTGAGTGTATTGAATGGACCTATGGAGGAGAAGATTATTTTATATTGACCAAGTAAATAATCTTGACGTCAGTGATTAATGAGTTCTCTTAACCCGTAAGATAATAAACGAGCATATGTGCTCAACATTTACTTATTTGATTTACCAAGGATGATACCTATTTTTTTAGGTTGACATACTCGATATTTTGGTAAGTAATATTGTTTACATGATGTGCCATTGAAATTATTTACGGTCACTATGTCGCGGTCCACGGGGTTGATGAGTCCTTGAAATGAGATCAGGAATGTTTATTATGTTAAGTCCTGCAGGCCGATTAATCTCCGACATAATAATTAAGAACTGAGTGGTACCAATTTCGAGGAAGAAATTGATTAATTATATTATCAGTAATTAAGTTAATCAATGGGCGATATATGTTAAATATGGGGGGAGGGGTAATTCGATCAATTAATTTTCGGGATCGAATTATTATTAATTCGGAGCTAAATTGATTATTTTTTAAATAGTAACTATTTCACTTAAAAAGAAAAATCTATTTAATATTTCGGAAAATTAATTTAACAATTTATGGTATTATTTCAAATAATCACTTATGGAAATTGCGGCTCATTATTTAAGAAAATAATTAAACCATAAAAAAATCATTTTTAAGATTCCATAAAAAAATTATTTTTAAGATACCTTAATTAATCAAATCATGTGAATTTTTCTGATTTATCCAAATATGGAAATTTCGGCTGCAATATCAATTATGTGATTTAGTAATAAATTTTCAACTAAATTGTGTAATTTATAATTTCATAAGTGTTTTATGTTTTCGTATAATTCTTTTGTGAAATGCATTTTTCATATACCTTAATTACGCAAATTTTATAAATCTGACGGATTTATTCAACCTGCAAATATTTACTACAATTATGGAAATATTGACAACAATAACCATTATGCGATTTGCAAATATATGTTCTATAGAATTGTGTTAATGACAATTTTAATTTAAATATTACGTAATAAATGTTATTAATTTTTTCTGTATTTAATTGAATTAATCAAATTGTGGATAATTAAGGAAATAATTAGACCATAAAAATTTACATTTTTACGATACCTTATTTACGGAGATCATGTAAATTCGGTGGATTTATTCATTTATAAGTATTCCAAAATAATTGTGTTAATGGAAATTTCTATTTAATTATTTTTTAATAACTATTTTTTGAGTCTTTTTTTTATATATAAAAAACGTGGGTCTCGATTTTGTGTTGTACGCTGGGCAATTACATCCGTGGTAAGATTGAATATCATTTTTTGTATTTTATCGATAATGTATGAAATCAAATTATTTGGTATACTATATATTTATCAATATTTCTTTTTTCATATTGTTAAGCATTTTACTCGATATTAATGAAAGAAAAATTTGGAGAATACTATGATCGATACTTAGAAGAATCTGGAGAAAATTATGATCAATACTTCTTTGTAAATGTGCGTGGAACATATCAAATTATTTGGTATATATACTTATGTAAATCGATCAATCAATTTAAATGGACTACATCATCCACGCATCTTAACAACCATAAAGAAAAGAAAATTGAGATACCCAATCGTACCATTACAATCTATCAACCCATACCAAATCGCATTGTAGTCGAGTTGAATTTCTGAATAAAAATTTTAAAATAATACCTATTTTAAAATGAATATAATGTAATTTATTATTAGTTACTTGCACCATACGAGTCATGTACTAATTTTAAATAGACACGTTTTATGCACAATTTAAAATTCATATAACATATTCAACAAATTAATATTGGTAAATTGTATTACATATTTATTCCATATTTGTAATTTAACTTTTTCTTTTAATCCGATCTCAGCATATCCCTAGTGCTGTCTAGCACGGAGCCACTGATTTTAAAACAAAAAACGATAGTAAGGGCACTGTAGTGTTCTCATACGGAGATATTCTTAGAGGAATTTGTGGTAAAGACTAAAATCTAGAAATATTTTATTCTTAGAGGAAATGTGCCCTTTCTAATACTAATAGTACCTTAATCTCATGAAAGCCAGTTGTTAGCCTGTTTAGTTTCGCTTTTTTTTTTTCTTATATATTTTGCAATGAATTAAACGTGATAAATTAGCATTTCAACACGTTTATCTATATGGTCCATATATATATAATGAGCTTATCCCAGTTACATTACATCTGATAAAAATATTTTCATGGCAGCCACTCTTCAGTGTTGTGTCCCTAAAACTCATCATAAAATGATGAATACTTACTGTTCTACAATCACAGCTGAACCTGCAAAACCCATCCTCCATAAATCAATTAATTATCCTTTGCTGTCCAAAACTAGCTCACTATCATCCGCCTACCATAATTACTTGCAAGCTCCTCAGGCTCAGGCTGTGCCCAAGCCCAAACTAGATAATATAGCAAGTGGCTGGAGAGAAATTCAAGGGCTCAACAACTGGGAAAACCTTGTTTCACCCTTGCACCCTCTTCTCCGTGACGAGATCATTCGTTACGGTGAATTGGTGAAAGCAAGCTACGAGGCTTTTGATCTCGACCCCAACTCGAAAAGGTACTTGAACTGCAAGCACGGCAAGCATAGCCTGTTGCAGCAAGTGGGGTTGGGTGATTCAGGCTACGAGGTCACTAAATACATATACGCAACAGCCCCACCAATGAGTACTACGACTCAAAGTGGGCCCAGCAGATGGGTCGGGTACGTAGCAGCCTCGGACGATGAGTCTGTGAGCAGGCTCGGCAGACGTGACATCGTCATCGCATTCCGTGGCACCGTCACCAATGCCGAATGGATTGCCAATCTAAATACTTCCTTGACCCCTGCTCGCCTCAACCCTCACGACCCGAGGCCGGACGTCAAAGTGGAAGCCGGCTTCCTCAGCCTCTACACTACTTCGGACGAAAACAAGTTCGGGCTAACAAGTTGCCGAGAGCAGCTTCTGGCCGAGGTGTCGAGGCTACTGAACAAGCACAAAGACGAGGAGATAAGCATTACTCTTGCCGGCCACAGCATGGGGAGCTCATTGGCTCTTCTCCTAGCTTACGACATAGCGGAGCTCGGCTTGAACAGGCCATTTAAGGCTCCCATCACGGTTTTCTCCTTTGGGGGGCCCAGAGTTGGGAACTCGAGGTTCAAAGAGAGGTGCCAAGAGTTGGGAGTCAAAGTGCTCAGAGTAGTGAATGCCAAAGACCCCGTCACCAAGCTGCCAGGGATTTTCTTCAATAACGACATGATGAATTTTAATCAATTACCTTGGAGCTGCTCTTGCTACGCGCATGTTGGTGTCGAGTTGGTGCTCGATTTTTTCAAGATGCAAAACCCGTCTTGCGTTCATGACTTGGCAAACTACATTAAGTCATTATCCTGTCCGTCTCCGTCACCCAAAAAGAATTTGTCGAAAAAGTCCACACGATTCGTTGAGGGGCCATGTTCGCAGTTGACAAATGCAGCCACTAATATGTTGAATATGGTTCACGCGCAGTGGGCATGATCTTTCATCATCTTTATACATATGTACAAAACACTAAACCAAATCATTCTTTAATTATTTTTTATTACTAGCTAATTTCATTGATTTGATCCTCCACATTGGAACACTGTATATAATTAATTACATACATCATCAATGTACTTTGGTTGAGGGAACTGCGCCTATTCACCTTTACAACTAATTATTTTGGTCAAATATTTGAACTTCCGACCCTATGTCGTCAATCAGTTGCACAATTAATTGGTCAAACTTGAAAAATTAGGCTACACATTCTAATAAGAAATTTTGGTGTTTAAAGGCGGCAAAAATTCAATTTTAGTCCTCTAAGTTGGTCATTGTCCAGTTTTAGTACACCAACTTTCTCCTCTTCCAAAATAGTCAACTATGTTACAATTTTCATCAATTTTAGTACAGTAATCCCGAGGGGCTGGATTACGTGTTGACGTGGAAAATTGTAATCATTCCATGTCCAAGTCCTATCCATACACGTCGTTTCAATTCTTCTCCACATCATCACGTAATCCGGCCCTTCGAGATTAATGTACTAAAATTGACGAAATGATAACATAGTGGACTATTTTTGATGAGGAGAAAGTTTTTTTTTTTTTTTTTTTGAAACCACTCCGGAGGGTGGGGGTTTAGGCCAGACCCCCAACCTGTATATATATAAAAAGCCTTAAATGGGCTGGAAAGTCACAATTCTACAAGTCCAATATCTAAAATACAACAAATCAAACGAAAAAGAAAAACTAAAAACGAAAAAACAACAATACAAAACTGGCAATAGCTTCCAGTAACACAACTATATCGTCTCCTGGTCCGAAAAGAGTCCAGGAAAAAGAGTCAGTATCACGGGAGGGCGGGTGCACCAAGAGGTAAGACCTGCTACCCAAATTTGGATGAAAGGTATCCCATCTGGTCCAACCGTATAAGGGTGCAGTGGCGAAGAGGAATATCGTCAGGATAAAGAATGCGTTTCTGGGGGGTGGAGGACCCGATGCCTACGAAGAAGTCAGCAGGACAGTTCCCCTCACGGAAGATGTGCGAGATCTCAAAGAGAATCGATCGAAGTGTGGCCCTAATACGCATGAGCGAATGTTGAATCTGCCATGTGCCCTGATGGTCAGTGGTCAAGAGAGTGATGACAGCGGCAGCATCCAACTCTATCCAAATGTGAGAGGAGATCGAGATAGCAATCTAAAGCGATCTGAAGCGCCTGAATCTCTGCGTCGTAGCTCGAGGAGGCCCGAAGAGGGGCATGAAAAGCGGTAACAAGAGCCCCGCTATGGTCCCTAATCATACCCCCTCCTCCGGCGGCTCCGGTAAGTCGGTCAAAAGATACATCAGTGTTCAGCTTAACCCAAGGAGGCTCGGATCTCAGCCAAACAACAGCTCTGGAGCGTGGATGCTGGATAAGCGACAGTGGAGGTGGTGTAAGGCGGTGAGGAGGCGTGCAACCTGTCCAGTGTCTATGCGTGAGTCTGCCTAAAGCAGTGAGGAGAGAGAGAGATGTCGATCAACCTGCAAAATAATATGGAAAGACAAAAAAGAGTTATCCCTATGCTTCGCATTATTCCTTTCTGTCCAGGTGGCCCAAAGGATCAGACAAGGAATAAGGAAGCCCACGTGTCTATCGTGTGTGCTGTGTCTGAAGAAACTCAGAAGCTTAAAGAAATTATCTATGGAGGGTAGGGATATATGAGTAAAACTGGTATAATTCTCCCACACTCTCCTCACAGTCTCGCTCTCAAGAAACAAATGGCTAAAACGCTGGTCTCAGCACAACAATAACAAAGTGAGGGGAATGAGAACCCCCTCGCCTGCATCATGATATCAATTGGTAGGCGGCGCAGAAGAAGTCGCCATAGAAAAACAGAGTTGGTCGGGGTAAGTAGGTCGGTCTAGATAGCCCCGAAGAGAAGGTTAGGCCGGTCTCCCAGCCGTACTTCTGCCCAAACCGAGGTCTTAGAAAATGCACCCGAAGATGTAAGTCTCCACCCCATACCGTCCAAACCGCCTTCCGAGATGGATATCTGCTGGATCTCATCTACCTCCTGGTCACTAAAGCCCGCTCCACTACCCAGAATCCTCTCTAACCTATCCCAATCCCATCCCCCATCCGTCCACAAGTCCTTCACCTGCATACAGGGAAGGTGGTGACATGTCTAGAACTCGAAAGGGAGCGCTCACCAAACCACCACTCATCCCAAAAGATAATGTCCCCCTCACCCAAAGTCTAAAAAATGTGCTTTTAGGCACGTCTACCCACTATGGTGAGCCGCCGCCACTGTCTGCTATCGTGGGCAGTGGCCGCCACCCTACAGGAGTGGGCAGTGCCTCCAGGACAGTACTTCCGACGAAGATACTGGGCCCAAAGGGACTTACTCTCCCTGAAGCGCCACCACATCTTATAAGAGAATACAGTGACGACGTCCGAAAAGCGACGGATCCCGAGGCCCCCCTCAGAGAAGGGTCGACATACCAAGTCCCACTTCACCCAGTGGACCTGTCTCCCTCTCCGGGAGCCCTCCCCATGCCCCCAAAAATATCGAGCCAGGATCTAGTCTAGCTCATGAATCATAGACTGGTGGGGGTCAAGTACCGTAAAAAGGTGAAGCGGAAGGGCGCTAAGGGTGTTCTTAATCAGAGCAAGCCTCCCCCAAAAGATAGGTGTCTGTGAGACCAACCGGAGATCCGGTCAATCATCCTCTGCCTGACGTCTATGAAGAGGTCATGCGAGAGGTGGCCTTTATACAGGCGGGCATCCAGGTAGGTGATGGGGAGGTCTCCACGCACAAAACCAGTGCGCTCGTGGACCCAATGGGTCCACTAGTCTGCGATATGATGATCCAGGGTGAAAGTGCTCTTTTGCACACTAACAAGCTGACCGAAAACCGAACTATAGTGCCCTAAGAGACGCATAGGCTCGGCGAGTCCATTATTATCCGCAGGAGTGAAGATAATAATGTCATCTGCATAGAAAAGGAGTGAGATGGGGAGACCATAACCACGTAGCTATAGGTCATCCTCGGAAAATCACGAATGAAGCCATCATGGCAGCGAGATAGGTAGTCCGCCGTCAGGACAAAAAGGAAAGGGGATAAGGGATCCCCCTGCCGAAGACCACGGGTGGGTGGGAAGAAGTCAGTGGGGCTACCATTAAGAAGGACCGAGAACGTGCAGTGCTCCACGCACGCCTCCACAAAGTTAATCCAACGCTCGGGGAAGCCCATCCGAAACAGAACCTTCATGAGGAACGGCCACTCAACCCTATCATATGTCTTAGCCATATCTAGCTTCAGCACAAGGTTCGAGGCTCATAATCAGTTCGCATGGGAGATGTCATGGATCATCTCCTGGGCCAAAAGTATGTTATCACTAATGACTCGATCCTTGATGAAACCACTCTGGTTCGAAGAGACGAGGGATGGTAAAAGGGGGTCTAAGCGACCGTTAAGGATCTTGGAAATTATCTTGTTGGTCACATTACAAAGTCTGATAGGTCTATAGTTGGACTAGGAACTCGGTCTAGGTCTCTTGGGTATCAAAACAATAGAGGTCGCTGTGAAGGACTCCGACATCTGGTGGCCTGAAAAGAAATCCACCACAGCTTCCTCAACGCCAGTCTCCACAATCTCCCACCAGGCCTGAAAGAATAGAGACGAAAAGCCATCCGGCCCAGAAATGTTGTTGGGATCAATCCCAAAAACAGCCTCCCTGCCTACTCGGGAGGTCGCATAGGTCAACAATGTCGACCGACTGCGGGATGGTGGGGAAAAAGAAAGCGTTGGGGGGCATAAGCAAGTCGCGATCTGAGGTGAAGAGGGATTGAAAGTGTGTTATAGCCGACTCCCGTATCTGGGACTCTTGAGTCAGAGAAGACCCGTTATCCTCGATACAGTGGATGAACGACTTAACCCTCTTCTGCCTCACAAACCCCTGAAAGTACTTGGTATTACGTTCCCCCTCAGCAATCCAGCGCACAACAGCCTTCTGCTTCCAGAAATCCTCCTCCATAAGGAAACGGAGCTGGTACTCGGTGTGGCAGCGGTGCATGGCGGACCTATTCTCTGGAGACGAGTCTAGATCATAAGCTCGCTCCGCGTCTGCGTACGCACTCTGAGCTGCAGCATGGCGCTGAGAAATATCTCCAAAAACCATCCAATTCCACTGTTTCAAACTACGCCTCAGTCTATCGAGCTTCATCTTCATGTGACGCATCCCAAAAAGCCTCGTCGGGGGTTGCCAGGAAGCCCTAACCGTGTCTTGGAATGTATGGTGACGGGTCCACATGTTTTGGAACCGAAAGGAGGAGCGACAGGGGGTGCTCGAAAACCAACACAGGATAAAAAGGGGAGCATGATCAGATTCAATTCGAGGGAGGTGTGTGATGGTCGTGACCGCAAACACCCTCGTCCATTGTTTGTTATGTTTTTGTGTGTTTTTTCTTGTGTTTTATTTGCTTGAGTTGAGTCATTTTAGGTTTGATTTGTGTGTCCCGGTCCATTTTTATTCGTTTTTAGTACTTTTTAGTTTTTAGTCGTGTTCGTATATTTTCCTATCTCTTTTGTGTGTTTTGGTGTTTTTGTAGGTGTTGACGGACGTTTCCGGTCAACGGTTAAAAAGTCGAGTAATGGAAAGAAAATAAGAAAATGACAAAGAAATACAGCTTAATTACGATTTTATTAACGGATCACTAGGTCGGCCTCTCGTACGAGGTCGGCACTTGCGATATACTTATAATACTTACAAGAGTTTCTTACAAGTTTAGAGAGAGAAAATATGGAGTACAAGTAGTTGGGATTCAACAACCCAAAAATAAATGAGGGGGTTGCTATTTATAAGGGTCTTTAATGTGGCACTGTTCAGGTACTGTTCACCAATCTTGTCGCACAGTAGTTCGGCGGGACAAGCCGGCGCTTCTCTGACCGATTGGGAGTGATTTCTGGATGTTTCAATCATTACCTGCTATGCATTTAATGCGAACGTGGGCTGCATTA